AGAATCAGGAAAATCTACAATATATAATTTGCTTACCATGTACAATAAACTTTATCATTCCAAAACAATGTCTAAACTATCATTTTATTTTACATTCTAGCTACTCATAATCTGTTTCCTAATCCTCAAGGGAGTTTTAAAATTGGGACTCATATGGTGTGGATGTATTTCTACCAAACTATTTAAAATAGTGCTTTTCAGGACATCCTTTCCAGTTGCAGACCTCTACATAGGTTCATGAAATCATTCCAATTTGCTTTATTTGCTGTATTAGAAATTTCTGGCTTGGAGGTAGCACATAGGAAATGGTGCTTTCTCTGCCCACCATCTCCCATCACCTTTCTCTGAACTTGGCCATCTTTTCAGCTGACATGCTCAGAGGCAAGGTCTCTTAGGGAGTCCCTTCCTGGTCAAATTTCCAGTTCAACTGGTCTTGGGTCTCTGAAGGGAAGGCCTCTAGTGGGACCTCACTCAGGCTGAAGATAGTTATCTGTTGACTATTAGCCTGCTCGTATTAACCTTTGCCTTGTTTGCTTGACTTTGCCCATCTCTGATTTCACATTGAGAGCTTAAGGACAGAAGTGCAGTATAGTGGTCCAAAAGGCTAGCCTTGAAGACAACTCAACAGGATCCCCAATGTGAATGGAGGGAGATGCCAGCTTGGGTTAATAATCGCCATCTGACTTTGACAACACACAGAGGTTTCAAAGATAATTTTCCTACATATAACAAGGTCCTGTAGGTAACAAGCATAGATTGCACAAAATGTTGTAATTTTCAATGTAATCTTACCTCAATGTAAACTTAAAATACCAACTCTTCCCCTTGCTTTGTATTAATGAATTTATAAGAGGAGTATTTTTTCCCAAAGCCAGTGAGAACCTGCCTGATTTTATGAAATTCCAAGCAGAGTTTAGATGGAAACAGAAGAATAACCCTTTTATTTAACTCAACAAAGATGCACTAAGCACCTATTATGTTTCTAGTTTTATGTGCAATATCAAATAGTATAAACCTATTCCTTCCCTTCAAGGAACCCACTGGGATACCTGAAACCACATATAAAATAATGTGAATGATACAAGATAATTTTATCACTAAGCACCAAGTTCTGTGATGCAAACCTCTTTAATTAAATGCCACATAAAGGCTAAAAAGGAACATGTTAACATTGTCCAGGAGGTCAGAGAGATTGCTCCAAGCAAGTAGGCCTGATGTCCCCAAGTCTTAATGATGAGATTTGGATGAATAAAGAGGGCAAGTCATCCTAAGTGAAGGGAACTGTAAAATCAATGACATGGTGACAGAAAAGACCATGGCATGTAGGGTTGGGATATAGGTGGGGAGTAAAAGAGTACCCCCAATCCATTCAGATTAGAAAGCCGCAACAGCTTTGTGCTGGGAAAACTGGGTGTGCGACAGTTAGATACACACAAACACATCCCTGCCTTTCTTATGGGGACTATAACTTTATTTCCATTAAGCTTGTGTCATGGCTATAATCTGGACAAATGAGCTCTCTGGAGATTTACTCTGCCTACCTATTCTCTCGGCCAGTTCTCTAACCAACTTTGACTTACATGTTTCCATCCCTAATATCTTTTTCTCCTTTCTGTAACTTTGAAACAAAGTTTCCACCTTTGTTGTCCTGAAACTTTTCTTTCAAAAACCATCCATTCTACCTTCAGAGAAATGAAAATCAAAACTACAGTGAATACCACTTTATACCCACTAGGATGGCTATAAGAAAAAAGACATCTTAACAAGTGTTGGTGAGGATGTGGAGAAACTGGAACCTTCATATACTGCTGGTGGGAATGTAAAGTGGTGCCACAGGTTTGGGTAACAACCTGGTGGTTCCTCAAATAATTAACCACAGAGGTATCATGTGGCCCCAGCCATTCCACTCCTAGGTATATATTCAAAAGAAATCAAAATGTGTACATGCAAAAAAAACTTGTATAAAATGTTCATAGCATCACTATTCATAATAGCTAAAGAGTGCTCACAACAAAAATATCCATCAACTGATAAATGAACAAATAAAATTTTGTATATCTATAAAATGAAATATTATTTGGCAGTAAAAAGACAATAAAGTACTGATACTTGCTACAGCATAGATGAACCTTGAAAACATACTAGGGGGGAAAAGGCAGTCACAACAAACCGTATACAGTATTACATGTTTTCATTTGCATGAAATGTTCAGATTAGGCAAATCTATCAAGACAGAAAGTAGATTAGTGGTGGCCAAAGGCTGGGCTGGGGAATAGGGAAATTGGGGAGTATTGCTAAGAAGTACAGGGTTTCTTTCTGGCACGGTTCAAATGTTCTAAAATCGATGATGATGGCTGCAAAACTATGTACATATGCTAAAAGCCAATTAATTGTACACCTTAAGTAGGTGAACAATATGTTATGAATTATACATCAATAAGCTGTTAAGTCAAAAAGAACCATCCAATCTGATGAATTTAAGTATAAATCACCTTTATTACACGAGATACAAAAATCCTAGCTGCTTAGAGCTGGAAGTAGATGTTACAGATGAGGGCTGGTGATGGTAATGTCTTTAGCAGCAAAACTCATTGGGCCAAGCAAAATATTGCATGAAACAACTATAGGTGAAAGAAACAAAAAGCATATTTCATTAATCAGCTTGGTTTTTTTTGTTTTTGTTTTTTTTTTTCCACTTACACCGCTAAATCAAATTTGTAACCTTTTGTCCAAACTTATAAGATGTAACTGTAACCTTAGGTCAAGAAAAACGAGGCTCTCCTGATGAGGCAAATTTTGGCATATAATGCATTTAAGTGCATGAATTATTTTCATCACACTTTAAAAAAGCATTTGAAATCAAATGTTTCTGGAATCCTTAGACAAGCATCTGATTTCACAAGAGATCTACTGAAAACACTTCATCTAGTCCAATGCTCTTAGTTGTAGTTGCAGATTCGAAAACTGAGGTTCAGAAGGGTTGCTATAGTCATAGGGCTACTAAGGAGCAGAATGATGGTCTCCTAACTTCCTTCCTTCTTCAGATTTAATGATCACATTTCATATTCTGCATATTACATGAAAACAATTATGCTATAGGTAAATAAGTAGAGACAATAAGATTATACAGATATATCACACCTGTTTATTACACCAGGGTGTGAATGCCTTAAAGGCATTAAAGTGAGAACTCACTCTTATACTTCCTTCCTTCTTTCCAGATTTAAGGATGTGGATATTATGTGGAAAGGTTATGCTAAAGGTAAATATGGAGACATGTTATACAGCTATATCACACCTGTGTCTCACACCAGAGAGTGAATGCCTTAAAGGCATTAAAGTGAGAACTCACTTTTGTACTCAGTGTTTAGCACAGTGCCTGGCAACAGCGTATGTTTACATTTAAGGAATGACTACCTGAGGAATGAACTTTATCTTCCAGTGTTATTTAAAAACACAGATTTTCAAACTAGAGTTCTAGTTCCTTATCTGTAACCACCTAAACATCACCTCTGCTTACACTAATTGTGTTGTAAATTACACTTATCTTTTCCCTCTTGTCAGCTCCCCCTTGACCTCACTGTTCTGTCAATGGTCCTATCTTTCTGCCAATCACCCAGTGACAAGGCCAGGATTTGGAGAGTCCCTACACAGGATGATTCAGGAAGAGGATAGGACCATTTCATTCAGGCTATCAAAAAATTAAGCAGAAATTAAGTGATTAAGCAAGCCATTGACATGAGTGAAGGTGAGGGAAGGACTAGATGAGCATGAGAGCCCTGGCTGTGACCAGGGAGCAAAGCCAGACAATGCTGGGATGTTATAAAAAGAGAGCCATCCAGGCTGGGCAGATGTTCTCAGAAGTAGAAAACAATGAGTGCATAGGAGGCTTTGACACGATGACCTCAGAATTTGAGGTCAGGGAATGGTTACTCTGTAAACAGTAAAGAAATAACTCATAATAGATGAGGTTTGGCATCTGCCATCATGTCCTTGACCAGAAAAGGAATGGGGGAGGGGGGCAACCGAGGCCCAGAAAAATAACCAGGTGGATTTTCAGAAGCAAGAACTGGAATGTAATTAAAATAAATTTTTGCTCACTGAATTATATATTTTTCTGAGGATACTATAATTATGGCAACAGTAACTACTATGTTTATATTTGTTAGTGAGGGTATAATGTTCTGTGTTATGGCACTGGCCCTGCTCCCCTAAGCATCTGTGACCTTACATTACGTATCTACAGGCCAGACATGTCTTCACATACTTTGTTAATATGGCTCCCCCTCTATTACCCAAACTGTCTCATTCCCTTTATGCTTCTGGTCAAACCATAATGCATAGTAGACTATCTGAATCATTTCTCACTATTTCCTACTATTTTCAAAGTAGGAAGGAAATTTTCAAACTTTCTCAAATCTAGACACTTCCATAGATTATTCCAGTATCTCTGTAGCCCCCACCCTTAAATTTCTGCTTCTCTGGACTCTTTTGGTGCTTAGAGGAACTATCTGGAAGTTAATCATATACATGTTTTATTTAACTTTTTTATCCATCCATCTTCCCATCTAGACTGTTTTAACATTTTAAGAGCAGAATGTGTGGCCATTCAAGACAGTAGGCTAAGAATTGAGAATCAGGAGTTCAGTTGAGTAGGAAGGACTTTCTATATACCTAAAAGGACAGTGGTCCAAGTTCAAAGAAGCCAGTCAAAGTAAACACAGAAATCAGACAGGCACTACTGGACCTGAGCAATGCCTTGAAAACCATCATCTCTGGAAACCTGTGTTTTCAGAAGAAACCTGAGGACCAGAGGTTCCTAGGATCCTCATTTCCATGGGAATCAGAGTAACCCTATTTTCATTTGCTTTATATGTTGAGGCTCTGCTTAACGTTTCCTTGGAAAGAAATGATCCCATGGGTAAAGTCAAATTTAAAAATCAGTGGACTAAAAAGTCATGCATGTGTCCAAAGAGTTTCTGAGTGTCTCCTCTGGGCAGGTTCCTCATGAAGGGAATGAGAGTTGGGTAAGTGAAGAACACATGAAGGTATGTGAAGAAGGCCAGGGTGGCTGAAGCATGAAGAACAAAGGGAAAAAGAGCACAAAATGAGCCAACAGAGGTAGGCGGGGTCAAAAAAGATAGGTTTTGCAGATGGGGAAGGGTTTACATTTCATTCTATGTGCTAGAGGAGGCCACTACACTTCTCAGCAGGTAAGTCCCACAATCTGACTTAGAGAATACCTTAAATCCTACATTTATATTTTATATTTGCCTTTTATATTTTAAAAGATAAATGTAAGCTGCTTTGTGGAGAACAGAGTGAAAAGAGACGAAAGAGGAGATTATTGTAGCAGTGCTAGACGAGATGATGGTGGTTTGGCCTAGGTAGACAAAGAAACAGTTTTGAGATTTATTTTGGAGAGACAAAACCAATTTTTCCCATTTTGCATTTCCAGGCAAATTAACTTCAGTGTAACTGTTGGGAGTGGGGGACTCAGGTGGAGTGTGGAAATGCTCTAGGTAGGCAGGCAAGGTTGCAGGTTTCAGACATCAGCAAGCAAGCTTAGAGAACAAGGCTCATGATCAGGAAAATAAACCCATTCTTTCATTCATTCACTCATCACTCACTGAACAGCTGTGTGCCAGGCAAGGTGCTGAGGCCTGGGCATGCAAAGTCAAATAGGGCCAACTGTTCAAAACTAAGTAAGAAACCCCACTGCACAAGATGACAGACTGAAGAGATTCTCAATATCTAGAGTGAGCAAGTATGGATACAGAAGACAAAGCAGATGTCAACCACCTTTATTACATCCTCCAACTTACTCATTCACTGATTCATTCATTTCCCTAGTTCACTCGCTCAATTCCCCAACTATCATCCATTACCTATTTGTTGTGAAGCTCAAGACTGGGTTATACCTGTATGAATAACACATCATCTGTATCTTCTAGGAATTCAGTCTGCATCTTGCCAAGGAGAAAGACATGTGAACATGTCAGTACGGTTGACCCTTGAACAACACAGGTTTGAGCTGCACAGGTTCACTTATACATGGATTTTCTTTCACCTCTGCCACCCCTGAGAGAGCAAGACCAATCCCTTCTCTTCCTCCATCTACTCAACAGGCAGATGACAAGGATGAAGACCTTTATGTTGATCCACTTCTAATTAATGAATAGTAACATATTTTCTCTTCCTTATGATTTCCTTGATAATTTTTTCTTTCCTCTAGCTTACTTTATTGTAAGAATACATAAAAATACATACTGTATACATAATACATATAACATACAAAATAGGTGTTAATCAACTGTTTATGTTATTGGTAAGGCTTCTGGTCAATAATAGGTATTAATCGTTAAGTTTTCGGGGAGTTGAAAGTTATACTCATATTTTCAACTACATGTGGGCCCTGTGCCCCTAACTCCCACATTGTTCAACAGTCAACTGCATAATGTAAGGTGCCAAAATAAAAAATATACATAGTTAACTATTCATGAGACATGGAGAAGTTGATCTTTGTAGCCTACAGTACAGTCCTATGACAGTTACATTCCTTCTGCCTTAAATGTACTCAGCTTAAATTTCACTTCTTTACAGAAATCTTCTCTGACTTTAATTAAATTGGGTTCCCTGAATACTCTTGCCTTTGTAGCACTTTTCAAAGTTTGCAGTTACATGTGTGTTAAATTCTACCTCTCTTAGACTAGACTACAAGCTGCACAAGCGCTGTATCTGGTCTGCTCTGTGCCGTACTTTCCAGCACAGTGCTCAACCCAGAAGGGATGCTCAATAAACACTTGTTGAGTAAATTATTTTCTTAATCCAAGATAATTTCAATCATAGGCACATTTTATTAGAACATGCCAAATAACCCTACATGAAAACTGAATGTCCAAAGCCCAGAAATAAATGTTAATGAATAACATTACTCAGGTACCTTCTCCTTGGCCCACACACTGGGGCATCTCAGTTGTGAATTAGATATCACCCCCTTGGTTGCAGCTCTCCTTTCCTGCTCCGTACCTGAGAACTATAGATAAGAAAGAAGTTCTACCCTGTGGATGCCAATAACTGTACATGTGACAGTCAGACATCAGGATCACAAATGCAGAATGACAGAAATGTACTTGTCCCTGCAGAGAGGTTAAAGCAGCCATGGTCCAAGGCCAGTTGTCAGGAAATTTCTGGTTTTCATTGACTTACTTGAAAAAGATATAAGAAGTTAGGTTCATGCTAGTGACAGCATGCAAATAAAGCTATTTTTATTTTTATTTAATACATGGTTTTACTCTTACTTTCATTGAATTTAAAGTACCAGCATACCAATATGAATAGATGAAGACTTTTCTCAGACTTCCCTAAATTCCAGGAGTAAAGCTGGTTGGCAAGGCAATTCTGGTAGCAGAGTTGGCAGGTGGGCTGTTGGCAATGTGAACTTATAGACATGGACAAAGATTGAAGGTAAAAATACAGATGAAACGCCTTCTCTGCCTGCAGATTTCACAGTACAGTGACATCTTGGTTCTCAAACAGTCTGAATTGTTCCATTGCTTACCTCCACCGGCTGTGGAACTGCCACTGAGATAGTAGAGGTCACATCGTTTCCCACATCCCAACAGGAACTCTGCCCTTTGATCCTGTGAACCCTCCACAGTTGCTCATTTAAAACGGTTTTCAACCTCTGGCGCTGACCACAGACCTACAGATGCTGCTTCACAGCAGGCAGTGAGCCCTCAAGAAGCAGTCGATAACTGGTTTTTTGCTTTTGTTTCTGTTCCTATGTATTTCTGAGTCTTACAGAAAGATTAAATTTGTGAAGTGGGAGTGTTACTAGTATCTACTGACAGAGGTCAAGGACACTGCTGAGCACCCTATGATGCCCAACGTACAGGAGAGCCTCTCCACAACAAAGGTGCAGCCAGCCCAAGGCATCAACAGTGTCGAGGTTAAGAACCCCGACAGACACTACACCACTGGATACACGAGGAGGAAGATAATGTATTCTCTCTGCTTCTGAAAATTATATCACTTTTCAGGAGATAATGACATTTATATACAAGTCTGAAGGGGAGAAAAAAAAATTTTTAACATCTAAAAATAACGATTTTGAATAATTAAACTACAGTTATCAATTATAAATACTAGAAGAAGACAGACGAACAAAAGAGCACCGCAGAAAGCAAATTAGAATTGGCATTTGAATTAGAGCAAATAAAAACAGCCCAGGGGCCGTGGCTCTGTGACTGCGTGAGGAAGTCTCAGACAGGAAACTGTCACCGGACCAAGTAAAAGTTCCTTTGGTTCTCAACTCATGTTGAAATCAAGAAGGGAGAGGATGGATTCTAGCTTGCATGGGTAGGGACAGTGTGTGAGCAAGTCAAAGACTCTAGGAAACGCTATGTAGATTTTAAGTCTATCAGCAAAAACATGAAAACTTTAAACATATCTTATTCTTCTGCTTATGCTAGACAAGTAAAAGGTTGCTCATTTTAGAAATGCTATATTTTGGAAGTGCTTTCATTTGGGAGTTCAGGACAGTTTCTTATGTGTCTGAGATCTCGCAGTATAATAAATTACTCACAGAAGGACTTTAGTGGTTTCACCTTGAGGTATTGCAATAAATATTTCCAACTTGTTTATAGCTTTCTTTCCATGATCCCAACACTGTAAGAAACAGGCAGGTTTTAACACTGAAAACTGAAGATAAATACAGAAATAGTTAAGTTATATGTGCAGTTAAAACACTATCTTTAATGTGGTTGTATGTGTCAAGCTATCAAGTGTTTGCTGTGAGGGTACTTTTAAGTAACAGTCCAAGAGAAATCTAAAATGCTCAGAATTCCAAGCTGATTCCCTAGACACTATACTACTGACCATTTTCACCTGTTCTTCTTTTCTTACAAATCTACATTGTAAAGCAGCCAGAAATCAAAAGAGTCATGGAAAGCAAAATCCATTCTATTCTCATCTCAAAAGCTTTATGCAGGATAAGCTGATTAGTCTGTTAACATTTTGAATTTTTCCTCTAAAAGTAAACTTTGTAGGAAATACTATCTATCAGGATATGTATTGGAAATTATATAAGCAGAAAAATGGAAATATATACTTAATGGCAGGCTAAATACAGAAATTCAACCATCCTAGCACTACCACGAAGACAGGGAAATAGTAAAATAGGTGAAAACTCACAAATATGAAGAAAACTGGAGAGAAAATGAGTGTAGATGAGTGATGTTAACAAAATGCTGGAAGATGGGAAGTGAAAACGTAAGGATCAGGATCAGTGGTAATTCTCTCTCCAGAAGAGACAGCTGAGACCTGACATCCTACAGAGGTAGGGAGGCCAACCAAGTTGCAGGGACCCAGGAAAGCTCAGGAATTGGGGAAAGCAGCTGCTTTAAAAGGCCGGGGGCGGTGGGGGCTGATGGCAGGAGGATGGGTAGAAAGCCTGTAAAATGCCCAGTGAGGCCTTGCCCCATTTCCATTCCTCAGTCTGTGTGCTCCAGAGACTGCCCCTTCTCTTCTCTCCTCCTTGTACAAACCAGAGTTGCGTTTTCTGGGTAGGCTGACCAATTCTGATCTAAATGATGCCAGGAATAACTGCAGAGGCTGAGTGTGACGCATGGTTGTGAAAAAACAGAGAACTAAGAAAAAGTCAAATACTCAATGGTGAGACCCCTTCTTTATTCCCACGCTAGGTTCCCTAAACACTGTCACCCAGGCTTAAATCTCCAGGTAAGGCACATGGAGAGAAGTCTTTCTCTGCGGGAAATAATTGAGAAACGAAGTCCACAGTATCCTGTCTCCAAAATAGCCACCCGGCAAGCCCCACTGCCTGGATTTACACTATGTAGTTCCTTCCTACAGTGCACCAAGGTTGGTCTGTGTGGTGAATAAAATATGACAGAAAGAAGTACTGGTATGTCAATTCTGAGATTAGGTTATAAAACTGCACTTCTGTCTTTAGAGCATGCCCCCGCTAATTCCTCTCTTGAGTCACTTGTTCTGAGGGAATGCAGCTGCCATGTCCCAAGCAGCCCTAGGGACATACCAACAATCTAAGGAAATCAGGACTGCCAGCACCTACATATGTGAGCTGAGGAGTGAGCCCTCTGACCCATCCTTGACATGACAGCTTAGATACAGACTCTTGGGAAACCCAGAGCCAGAATCACCAAGCTAAGCCATGCCTGCATTCCTGACACTAATCATCTGTATGAGGTAATAAATGTTTGTCATTTTAAGCTGCTAAGTTATATATAATCTGCAGATAATCAATACACCGCCATTGGATAACAACATTCACTAGCCAAGAGTGAATAGGCAGGATCTCTATCCAATTAGCCTAATGGTGCTACCAACTTAGGGGATACCTTCCACCACTAAACCTCATACACCAGAGAGTCACAATCAGCTTTTCAAGGGGATCCTTCTTAAATATAAACATACAGCTGAGAATAACAGAAAATGAGGAAACCCTTTAAAATAAAAAGCCAAAATAATCAGTAGAATAAACCTGGGAGTAACAGACAATATGAAGAGGATTTAAGTCCTGATATTAAATACTGAAGACAAAGGTAAAATATCATATATAACCACACTGAAAATATATAGACTTGATAAAGCATACCACTCTGAATTTTCAGAAATTGAGGGATAAATAGAGGATCCTAAAAGTTTCCAAAGAGGAAAAAAAAAAAATCCATGTCTGGAATGTAAAAAGAGAATAGAAGCATACTTCTCAAAAGCAATACTGGGGGCTAGAAAATAGCAATGCAATCGATTCAAGATTCAGAAGCAAATAGACTTCTAGCCTAGAATTATATATGCAGCCAAACTATAAATCAAGTGTGATGGCAGAGAGAAAAATTTCTTAGAAATACAAGGTCTCAGAAAGTGTTTGCTCTCATATAATCTTTCTTAGAAAGCTACTGAGAAGTCAGCTTCATGAAAATGAGGGACTAAACCAGAAATGAGAAACTATGAAATCTCAATAAAGAGAATGCAGCTCAAGAGAAAGG